TAGATAGATAGATAGATAGATAGATAGATAGATAGATAGATAGATAGATAGATAGATAGATAGATAGATAGATAGATAGATAGATTTTATTGTCATTATACTGAAGTACTACAAAGTTGAGCAGCAATCCTTAAGATGCCTAACCACAATAAAAACAATAATATCCATCAGTCCATTTTCTTTTGCTACACAATAATGTTTATTAGCTAAAAAGAAAGTATTAGCTAAAAGTAGCCAAATGGTAGCTAAATGCTAAAAGTACATACTGTATCAAAAACAAAAATTTTGAAACTGCTTTGGTACAATGATTTTAAAAGAAGTGAAGAGATCTCAATGTCTTTCCATGGAGGGATTCAATTTATACACTCAAAAAAGAACGATTTGTTGAATTTACATAACCAAGTTATGTCAAGTGGTTCCACTCAACTGAGCTGAGTAAATGTAACGGGATTTATACATGTAACTCAAGTAAATACATATATTTATACACAAATGTCAAAGAATCTCTCCTGAATGAGCTGAATGCATATTTTTTAATGAATGGTTAAAACAGGACCAAGTATGTAGAGGTAGTAAACTGCAATTTTTTAAAAGTAAAAAAACAAAAAAAAGATTAAACAAATACATTTTTAAATAGTGTGAAAAATGACTCAGCCTTCATAGAATAAGTTTTGAATTTGAAATTTGAAAGTAACATAATTTTGTGTGTAAGCATGAGATTAAATCCCTCCTGGGTTTGATGCTTCTTGCTGTTTGTTCCACAGCAGGTGTTCTGTGAAAACCATCCCACACATAAACAGTGTTTACCTGTTCTCGCTGGAAGATATCCTGCAGGTGTTTCAGCCCCACACTCTTTAAGAACTGGTTTATGGTCATGTCAAGCAGAGCTGCAGACAGAAACACATCACAAACTGTTACATAAGCCAACATTAGACTTTAGTCACAACGTGGACTCTTGTGTGTGTATTCATACTTTCACCCTCCTTCCTGTCAGACCCAGTTGCTCCGTCGGCTGTGCCAGAGGCTCCGCCCACTGCGATGTCATTGAGGATAGTGTTCAGGTTGTCTATGCTGCTGGCTGCTGATAGGCAGGACGGAGACGGAGTGGGCGAGATGACGACGCCCCCCGATGCACCCGTACTCACCACGTTTGCACTCACCTGTGAGAAAGAGATGCTTTGATTTTTTTCATTGGAGATAAAACGACAATAACACTTTAGAAAAAAAAAAACTTTTTACAAAGCAAACATTTAAACTAAACTGATGTTTCAGCTGAAGTGCCTGCTGCTTTCATCTCCTGCTGAGCTGCTGATTTGACTGATTGCAGGACTAATAAGTGAGTCGACAGCTCAGCTGCTTTCATCTCCAACACTTCTGCTCATCTTTTACACGTTCAGGTGTCTGATTAGTTTTCAGCTTGGCAGCTTTCAGAATGTGAATGCGAACTCACCAGTGAGCTGCCTCGAGTGTTTAAGCTCCAAACTGAAACTTCAAATCTGTTCTGCTTTCAGTGCTGACGCTTTAACTTTCTGCTTTATGTTCTCCAGATTTGGTTCTTAGTTCAGAAGATCCTGTTTGAACTATCCTCGGGGATCTTTTCTTCACTTGTGTCAGCATATGGACAGCATACATGCAGGTTGAGAGTAAACAGATTTGGAACAACTGGCATATCAGCCGGCACACACGCCGACTGTCCCCCTCAGATCAAATGAGGAGACTAGCATTTTATCACCTCAACTACTTTCACTCATGTTAGTTTATCTGTGAGACCTCATCCAGCCGGCCAACTTGTCCTCCATGAAAGAGTGATGAAAACTCTTTCCTCTCCTCTAATAATTTCCATCTCAGTCATGCAACGGCTGCACAAAGAATGGATCCTCTACTAGGGCTGTGTGTTAGCAAGCATTTGGTGATATGATACATATCACCAAATGGAGTCATGCTATGATATATTGCAATAGTGTAAGCATGGTGATATATTGTGATATATTGCCACTTTTTCTCCAAAAATCCTAATAAAAAAAACTCAGTATGTTGTATATGCATTTTATGCTTCATTTTTCTTATTTTACTCATGTTTACAATGGTTAGGCCAAATATTAGTAAGCAAGTAAAGTTTTATTTATATAGCGCCTTTCACAGAAATAAATTCACAAGGTGCTGTACATTCAGGGAAGTGGGGTGGGGCAGTTAAGAAACATCCATTCAAGAAGACATACAAGACAAACATGGGGGAACAGGTGAAACCGGTCATGCAGCAAACACAGTTGCGCTACCTTTAACAACAGAAAAACTAAAAACCACACAAGGGAAGATGAGAAAAAAAAATCCCATTAAATAGTTTGAAAATATATTTGTGGCTGGTTTTAGATTGGTAATATTAATTTATAACAAAAAAAATATGGTCACCCACCACACTAACATTAGCCTATATACAGTATCTTGTGCTAAAGTTTAGTAAAAATAGTTTAGTCTGTGTTTCTGCCACAGGGCTCCTTTCATTTAAGGGGAGAGCGTGAGTAGGCCGGTCGTTTCAATGCACTCAGTGTTTTGTATGGCTGTTGCATACTTCAGTGCTGTCCCTCAGGGACCCCCTTCAGCTCGGGGTGCTAGATAAATGCCTACCTAGCTGAAAGTTTTCAGATGTCTTTCTGCCTGCTCCTCTCTGTTCCCGCCTTCTTCCTCGATCCACCTTTATGCTACTTTTCAGCTAACTTTAGCGTCCATAATGTGGTCGGCTCGTCTCTGGATGTCTCAGGTGGAGGAATCAGTAAACATCCTTCTACCAGAGCTGGTTTAAAAAAAATCTGCCTGACAGCTTTGATATTGTTTTCAGTTCTTTTTCAAACTTGCTCTAACAAATAAAGTTTTGCCGATATGTAAGTCCCGCCCCCACCTGATTTCTGATTGGTGAGCTTGAATTTTATATATTTATATTTGGAGGGAAGTCGGAATTCTGCCACAAGGTGGGAATACTATCAGCTCTGGTGACAGTTGGCAACTCTATCTCAGCTTTGTAGGCAGCAGGTGTCATTCTAATCCACTCTGATTCAGCCATCGGTAGTCAATGCTAATGTTTACTTGCAATGCTAACGTTAGAGTTAGCATGATACTCTCAGGCTTCCTAAACGTTGAGGAGCTAAATGGCTGGATGACTGCTGCCAACTATTAGTGGGAGGCTAAAATACAGCACAAGAATGAAAGTATGGAAGTTTACATTTTCAGCCTTAATTAAAAATTGAAACAGTGCTTTGGAGGACCAACACAGTATGGGGAAATGAAATACGATATTCTGATTTTTGTTCTTTCACATGCCTCCCGTGATGACCCTGCACACCCCCTTGGGGTCGTGCCCCACACTTTGATGTATATGAAACTCACCACAGTGGCCTGTGGCTTCAAACAGCTTGGCAGGGCGTCTGGTGGCATGGCGTCAATCAGCAGCGCTCTGATGTCATCAGCCTGAAAAATATACAAGCATAATGTGAAAAATAACAAGAACAGATGTGTGTTTATGCAAGGCTTTTAAAATTTTAACAAAAAACTTGTAACAAATGAGGATTATGAGGCTTCATTAGTGCTCAGAGAGTGAGCTGGATTTCTGTTCCACCATCTCCACATCTATAGACTCCCCTGATAGTCCTCCAGTCTGTTCATACTTCTCTATAATCATCAAAACATTAGTTTAAGCTGGCTATATTTCCCATGCTGTGACTCACAAAGACAAGGGTCCCAGTGGGAGGAATTTATGACAGAATCTGAGAGCGCTCTGCAAGACGGTGTCTCATTACCGTTGCCAAATCCAGCGGCGTCTGTCCTTCCTGGTTCTTCATGGTGGGATCGGCTCCATGGGCCAGCAGCAGAGCACAGAGCTGAGTTCGTCCCTTCTGCGCCGCTTCGTGGAGCGGAGTAAAAGCCCACTTATCTGTGGCGTTGACGCACGTGTTGTACTTGATCAGCAGGGCGGCTATGTCCACATGCTAGAAACAGGCGTCGGGGTACAGATGAGTAGACATGTCTCAGCATCACGACACAAAACGTCTTTGTTTTTGAGAAACAGCAGGAGATCCCCTGATGTGTTTGTGTTTTCGCAAAGCAGAAGTCATTTCATCCAACATGTGTTTCATGAGTCTTTTAGTAGAACCACGCTGACAAAATATGAACATAAGAGTATGGATGAAAAAAAAAATCACATTCACTGTTTTTTCAAAGAATCTAGGTCTAATAGTGATGATATCTCTCAACGGGGATACCAGACAGAAAGAACTAAAATCCTTAGAGTTTAATTTCAGATATAAAACAGAACACTAAGAATTAGAAGGCATTTGCGGGATTGTTTAATAAAAAAGTTGCTCTGCTTAACTGCAAGAATATGAGTTATTTTTAAAGGGGAGATATTTTGCAAAATAACTTTTTTGCGCATTATATCATGTTATAATGTGATTCCCTCATCAAAAACATACCCAGGGTGTTGCTTTGACTCATTCATGCACGTTTAAAAATCCTTCAGTCTCGCTGTGGTAGTCATGTGGKGCTGCCTAAACACTTGCTGMTACAAAGCACCGCCTATTTGTACAAAGCTCCTCCCTGGAGCCCAGTCTGCAGCTGAGCTTCTCCTCCTCCAAAGCATTGTTGTGAAGACATGCTGAAGTGGGAGTGTCAGAAATGGTAGGAGGTTCTTTAAGAGACAGAGGCCAATTTCAAGGCGTTTAGATGCGCTACGATGCAAAGTCAATTTTTAAAAAAATATTTACAGCATTTTCATAACAAATAATTACTTGATTGTGGTATAGAATGTAGCTATGTGTGTGAAAAATACATAATACCGCCCCTTTAACAATAAGCAAAAAGACTTTCCTCTTTAGTGCATAAAATATCCGTGAACTAAAATAGTAGGTGAAATAGTTTTAATTACAATTTATTGTTAAACTTCAGATTAGAGGAACAGAAACTGGGAAATATTAGCTTTTATTAAGATGAAACTTTTTTTTATTGATTATATGAGCTGCTACATTCAAAGACACAGATTGTACTTTAAAATAAAATAAACAGCTGTAAATGGACAGCAAAGCAGGTGACAAATGGGTMCATTTGTGATTCTTACCCCGTATGAAGCCGCATTGTGTAAAGGAATCAAGCCTCCTTTGTCCTGAGCATTCACATCGGCTCCATGTTCCAGCAAATATTCTGCCACCTCCAAGTTATTATATCCAGCTAGAGATCACAGCAGGGGTTCAGATCCATGAAAGGACAGGATGGAGAGACGGTGTGGAGAAACAACAGTCAGGCAAAGAGAAATGAAGAAATATTACTAAAGGAGGATATAATTTCAGCCTGAACGAGCTGCCATGTGACAGAATATATCTTTTCTTTTTAAAAGAAAATGCATCAAGTGCAGCAGGTGTGTGGGTGTTTTAAGTGGTCAGGTCTACTGAACGTAAGAAAGATCAAATTTGCAAAGTGCTTTTCAGTGGTTTGTAAACTGTCAGTCAAACTGAAAAACTATTTATAATAAAATTACACTTAATGGCCGTTAAAAAAAACAGCTAAAACAAAAATTAAATATATATGCTCAAAAAGCTCTGTGTGCAAAAACAACTTCATAACTGGGAAAATAATAAGAAAAAATTAAATGAAGGGAAAAGAACAATAACTCTAGATTAATTTCCATCTCATCATAAAAAGTCATTCAGTGAATAAATTTAAACTGATCTAAATGATAATGATCATTATTTCTAAAACTTATTAGCAGTGCACAGATGTGAACTCATTCTAAAACTTAATGACAAAAAGGACCAAACTTTAAAAATCTTCTTAGAAATTATTAGGGCTGTGTATTGGCAAGAATTTGGCGATACGATACATATCATGACAGAGGGGTCACGATACGATATATCCCGATATATTGCGATACTGTAAGCAAGGCGATATATTGCGATTTTTTTGTCCAAAAATTCTATTAAATAAAAACCTCTTACTGAAAAAAAAAGCTAATGTTTATTTACAATGCTAATGCTACCCTTACTCTCTGGCGCTCAAGAGGTAGAGGAGCCAAATGGCTGGCTCCCTGCTGCCAACTGGTGGTCAGAGGCTGAACTACAATATAAAATGAACGGCTGGCAGGACAGTTGACGTTTTAAACCTTAATAAAAAATCGATACAGGGCTTTAGAATATCAATACAGTATCGGGAAATGAAATATCGCGATATTTCAGTGTATCGATATTTTCTTACACCCCTAGAAATTATTGCAATAAATGATAATATTGTTTGGAGACCACTTTAAACTAATATAATGATAATGACCCCACATACCATGAAGCACTTAATTGTCTATTTCAAAACGTCTGCTTGATCCATTTGATTTACACAAATATACAATATACACCAGTATATAAATATTATCATAACAGTATAATATATCATAACAGATATCTGAATCTGAATCTAATAATGTGATTCAATTAAATACCTAGATTTTTTTCTGCAGTTTGCATGCAGAGACAAGGTTTTTTTTGTGCGCTACAGCATTTTGTATCCCATTAGGCATTTGTTTTTGTCTGTTTAAAACTGTGAGGTGCTACAGAAGAACAGTGTACCTCTTATCTCTGCTACTGATGTCACACTGATTGCAGAGAGCTCGTGTACCCTTGAGGACAGAAAGATTATCTCTGCTCCAAGACTTTCAAACTGCTTAATGCTTGTGTAAGACTCCAAGGCTGTTTTAGGTCAACCATCCCTTTTTTTTTTTTTGGTGAGCATAATAGATACGCAGATTTGAAACATTCGGTAAATGAGGACATGTTTCTAAATGAATTCTGGTATCTGCCATTAATAATTGAAGTGGAAGCGTACAACAGGCCAAAGGCCCAAAGCATTCCAGCCCACATGCTGTCAGCAAAGAAAACAAAAACGTTGAATGAAACAAGATTATTTTAAACTAGAATTTTTTTAAAGAGAAACACAAGAGTTGAATGATTAGATGATTATATATAGCTGAACAATAGAGTTTTTTTCCCTCACAGATCAGATTAAGCTTGGTGATGCGTCACGGCAGCTGCTTTACAATCAGCATTATTGCTCAGACTGTTACGAGCTGTTAAACACAAACTAGCCAACTAATAAATATACTTGTTTTATTTATATTAACGTTATCAGTGGAAGCTGTGGCAGATCAGTTACACCACAGATTGTTTCCAATCCTTTATTCTGGCTTTGTGTCTAATGTTTTACTAATGAAGAGGACTGATTCAGAGAAACATCAAACGTTGGAGAGGTGCTTGTTTTTTTCTTCTGATTCTTAATGWGTTTCCTATTAAGATTCTGTGCAAAACAATGACTTTGCAGACGAGAATTCTAATTGAATAATAATCAACACTTTTCTTCAGTGAGCTATAGCAGCCCCGCGGCTCATCAGAATAACTTTTTTTCAAAACATTAGGTAAAACTTTCAAAATTATTGTGCACTTTGGTAAAAAGGCATCATGCTACAGATGTTTCCTTTGTTACGATTGTTGGATTAAAAGACCAATATTACTGTACCGTAACTATGAAATTTGCATTTCCTGCAAAAATGCAGTGTGAATGCTTAATGCTGAAGGGTTTTTGCAGAAAGCTGAAAGTAGGAAAACAAAAGTGAAAAATTAGCAAAAAAAAAAACTGTTCTAAAAAGTTGCAAACCCAACCTAAAGCAGCTGAAATTAGTAGAAAATAGTTAAAAAGTAGCTGAAAAAAGCTGGAATTAACCCAAAGAGACTAATAGAGCATGCTTGGTGAAATAAGCAGTAGGAAGCTGAAATGATCACAAAAGTTAATTTAGTTAAAAAAGCTAAAATTAGCTAAAAATAGCTAAAATGACAGAAAACAACTAAAGTTAGCAGAAGGCAGCTGAAAGAAACATTAAAAGCTTAAATTGGCTGAAAGAAGCACAAAAAAAGTTAAAATCAACAGAAGAGCAGCCAAAAGGAATAGAAAGCATTGCTGAAAAAGCAAAGAAAGCTAACAGTTACAAAAAAGAAGCTAAAGAATGCTGGTTTTTATAACAAAAATGTTACAAACAAGAACCGGAGGAAAAGGAAAAAATAATTTTCAGTGAAAAAAAAATGGCAGAAAAAGTTAAATATCTCAAAAAGTATAAATTGCTAAAGTACAAAGAGTCACAAGCTTTTACTCCAGATTTAGCTGTAATTTTTTGAAGGAGCTGAACATTTTGATAAAGAAATTGTTCAAATATCACAGAATTTGCAGAATAAGATACGTGCAAAAAAAAACAACTAATAATCTCAGTAGTGTGAATGCTTATCAAGTATTCACAATTACGGCAGGGAGCTGTGGCTGAAAATTGTATTACAATCAATGAGCTTTATTTCAATAGATTTATAATCATTGATTAGTTTCTTTTATTTTTTTAAACCCATTTAAAACAAGGACCAGGAGAAAAAAGGCTGATTAATACTGCCAAACTGGCGATGTGACCTCTCCTTCAGAAAGCTGTGCAGTTCTGGATCAGAGTTCAGTGAAATTATCAACATTCTATCGGACATATATTTTATTATATTGATCACGTGATGTGTCTATCATTATTATATAAATTAATATTGTTTTTTTGCCCTGCACTGCACTGTAATGTATGCTAATAAAAAAATACCATCAGTGGAGTCACGTTCACATTGATGTTAATACATAAGTTTATTTTTATAAAACAGTCATAGGCAGGTTGAATAAATATTCTCATGGTTTTAAAAGTCAGTCAGTCGAACAACAAACTGTTTTTGTCCTCAAGACTTTAGTTGTCTGGATGTGTTAGCGTTCGTGTTCTTGGCACGGTGCAGCAGCAGAAAATCAAAGGGTGTTTTTTTACAGACACACTGGAGGCTGAGTGATCGGCACTAAAAACAAACCATGGGATATTTTCCTGCCAAAGCGCATTTTCTTCCAGACTAGTAAAACAAAAACAAAACAAAAAACAACAAAACACATTTAAAGGCTTTTCCTTTTTATGTTTTTCTACTTCAATCTGTGTATGAAATATTTATAAAATTTAGTACAATTCCAATAAACAATTATTTTATGTATATATAGATGTTCATTATAAAATGGCACTGCATAAAGCAAAGGGCTTCCATTATATTAACATTTGAGGAAAATCCATGCGTCTCCAATTAAAAACGCATGGCATTTTCCTATTTTCAAAGCCAATTTTATTTACTCTGAGCCAAAAGGTCCTCTGAAGTTTTATTTTTCCTTCATCTATTATTTATATTCAGATTTTACAGAAAAGTCAAATAAATAAGGTGAAAATATGTTTTTTTWAATTCAGATAGATGGTGCAATAAAAGCATGGTTTAAAAATTCACCAAAACACTTGTCTAAAACCTGACTATTAACCAAAGTGTGAATGTGTGTCGTCGTTTTGCTACATTACCTGCGAGGTGCAGCGGAGTGGAGTTGCGTCCCTGGGTGTCCCGGCAGTTTATGTTGTCGGGGCTGCACAGCTTCTGCACCCTGGCCAGGCAGCCTTTCTTAGCGGCGTCCAGCAGAGCAGCGTCTCCTCTCAGCAGGTCCTGGATGTCCGTGTCCCCGTCCTTCACCAGGTCCAGGGGCGTYTTCCCGTCTCGGTTCTTCTTGGTTGGGTCTGCGCCGTGCTGCGGGGGAGGTGAAGAAAGGTGAGGAAAAGACACCTGGTGAAGTAGAACCACACACCTCAGGGATGATGGAAAAGCAGGCACTGTCATCACTCGGCTGTCTCGTAGGTGACAAGTTGAACTTGTCGTTTCAGTGTGAGCTTTGAAAAGTGCTCATTAAAATAATGTTATGGGAGCAGTCCCCTGGGTCTCTGCTGGTGGCCTGGAACTGTCCGTTATCTGTCTCACATGATTGGATTCAGAATCGTTTTTGATCCTGAGGCCAGCAGGAGTTTTCTACTTGGCTTCTTCATCTTTATGTCGTTTGTATTTGCTGTTGTAATTACACTGGGATTGTTATTTATTATCCACCCAGGAAAACGACAAAAAAAGATGACATTTGCYTTTAATATCGTAGAGATTAACTAAACAGTGCTGAATATTTGGTAATTATTTAAAACAGTGACTGTTGTCACTTCAGTTTTATTGCAAGTAAGGCGGATTCAACAAAAAGACAATTTAAATTCTGAATCCATTTAGATGCTTATTAGAAAAAATAATAATAATAACGAGTTTCCCTGAAGTGTTAGGATTGAGGAAACAAAAGCAGCAGGGTTTTATTCTGAGGGAGAGTCCAGAACAAAGCAGGCAACAAGCAAATAATAAAAAGAAAAATCTGAGGAGCAGTAACACACCAACAAACAGTCCTATCCTGAGGCCTTTTCACATTAAAAGTAAGGTCCAGGAAACACAATCTTGCTTCTTTGATTTAAGGTGATGCCCCGAGAACACAAGAGTCACCTTTGAATGATTACAATCCAACCAAGATTCAACATTGTGGGAATTTTTCAACCTTAAAAAAAATAAAAACCTCCATTTTCTTTGGATAATCGATCAWCACGACTGTGCTTCTAACCCTTGGCTTGTGACCTGTTGCTGCAGGAGCTGAGCCAAATATCACATCGATGAAAGCGTTGCCTCAGGGAGCTGCTCTGTCTCTGAACTCCAGAGTTGGTTTGAAGGAACACACGTCATCTGTTAAACTACATGTTTAAAAAAAAACACTAATAATAAAACATGCCTAATGTTTAACAAAGAACACCAAGTTCTGTGACAGTGAACAGAACAAAAGAAAAACTTCTTTTAATATCTGAACAGAACAAACAACTACTTGTCTCATGAAAACCTCCTGCTGGGTTAAGGATGTTCTGTTTGTTGAAGACGAACAAATATGCTAAAGCAGATGGTGTTTTTTGACACATGCTGGCACATTATAGTGGAGTCTCAGAAAACAAAACAAAACAAAAAAAAAGGTATATTACTGTGCTTATCTCGGATCAACAGAGGAAAAATTACCATCCYGTGTTTTTAACCAGAGGAACATCTGCAGATCAAAACTATTTTGATGACTGAGGGGAGTGCTAATTAACTTGAGATGGACTAATCATGAAAGCTACAGTGAGATGTTCATTTGATGGTACACTGCCTGGTCAAACAAAAACGTCACTCTTTCTAATATTCTGTTGGACGGCCTTTAGCTTCAYTTACGACACACATTCGKTGTGGCGTTGTTTCGATAAGCTTKCTAGACCCGACCAACTGCAGCAACCCTGGATCATAGCACTGCCCRCWCAGGCACAGAGGCACTAGGCATGATGGGTACATCCTCGAAGACCATGGGTCCCCACTCTCCTTCCAGTTTTTAATAATGCGTTGGACAGTTCTTAACCCYATTTTATCAGTTTCTGCAATWTTCTCCTTAGATGTTTTCTCTGCTTGATYCCAYTGATTTGACCCTTCTCAAACAGACTGACATCTTTTCCACAACAGGATGTGTCTTTCAACATGCTTGTTTAAGAAATGAGAAYCAACTCYTTGCACRAGTAGKGGTTAAATAACTTGTTGCCAGCTGTAAGATWACCGTCCATARAGTAATTARCCAATGGGAGGCTCYGAACTACATGCTTAGTTAAATCCAGGTGGTAAGTTTTTTTGGCCCGGTAATGTATTTTGCTACTTTTATATTTATTGTGCGAAATTTGAAACAAAACCTGCACAAGAAATAAAATAACCCTTTTATCAATTGTTTAAAGTATACTTAATACTGAGCTTCTACRATTAAAGTATCCTGCTTTTAAATCCTACTTTTTCACATTTAAATCATTCAGTTGGTCTATATAAAGTGGAACAGCCATGCCTTGCTCTGAATTCCTCCTTATTGTAACTCCACAAGCCCCTCTTTCCCTCTTTATCTGAAATATGTCTCAGATCAACTCGTTTTGAAGCTGTTTCTTTAAATCCAAATGAGGCCCTTCACATCCTGCCCCCCTCCAGCTTCCAGACCGGTCCATTCTAGTTTGATAAAGGGGTTTATGACTATATAGCGGGCGCAGAAACTTTTTATTTAGAAATTAATGAAAAGATGTAGATTGTGGATAAAAAGTAGATTTTGCGTATGTCCCCTTTAAGATCTTGGAAACTGTCCAGTGCTAATTTCAGTTTATTCGAAAGCCCAACCAAACATGAGGCGCAACATCTTAAAGACAGCTGTGGCAGAGACGTTGGGGGGATCTTTCCTCTAATGTGAGAGTTGGCAGTTCGATTTCCCACTATTCTGTTGTTACATGTTGAAGTGTGCTTGGGCAAGACACTGAACACCCACTGCCTCTAAAGTGTGTCCCATCAGTGTATGAATGTGATTTAAAGCACTAATTAGTCTCTGTAGGTTGATTTACCTGTATTAGGTTTGTAGTGAGACCCAGCAGAGTTCTGTGTAAATGGGTAAATGAGGACACAGATTGTAGTGTAAAACCCTTTCAGTGTCCTGGTTGGATAGAAAGGGACTATATAAGTACAGTCCATTTACCATTTAACAATAGATTAAATCTTTTTGTCCAGAGGCAGAGTTTTTTGTCCTGTTAAATCTAATGACAGTCTGAGTTGCTTTTTTTGCTAATTCAAGGATGTAAGTTCAAAGTGCTGCAATTCTAATTTGAAATACTATTAGATATTAAAGAGCCGAATAACTGTCATTTCATTCTAAGAAAAATGAACACATAAGATTAATAATTCAGTCCCAGAAGCACTTGCACAAAGCAAGATTTAAATTTTTTACAAGTGAATTAGACGGATGATTAAGATTTATCACTAAATCATCAAAGATCTAAAACAACACGTTTGTTCCTTTTCAACAAGTTTCATGCAAAGTCTGAGTGTTTAACAGATCACAGGAGAGAGGCTGGGCAGGTTTTCAGTTCATTTCAATCAACAGTTACTGAAGAAACTTTATAACCTAACAGGTGCCGGTTTCATTAAAGACTTGTTTACTGTTCGATTATTTAAGAACTTATTTGTCTAAAATAAATGCCAAATAAGTAACTATTCTAGAACCAGTTAATATCTGGCATGAAAACTGATTTGATTCTGTAAAAATGCAACATCTCACTGGTTTCTGCTCTTACACAGCAGATTTCAGCTTGTTTCATTKAGACAGCATGATCAGTCATAGCATGAGGTGAAAATCAGCATCTCAGCTGACATTTTAAAAACTGCTTTACCTGGTAATTAAAAAAAGGTTGATTTGAAGAAGCTGAGCAGCTCGACATGCACAGCATTAGACGCCATTAATCCAAACAGTAACATGTTTCCTCGTTATTTTGTGGCCAACAAAACTACTAAAAGTATAACCAAATAACTGTGTCTAGTGGGTGAAAAGCATTTGTTAAAGGCGTCACAATAGCGTAAAATACTGTTGCTGTCGTATATTGATCCACACTGTGGCTGAGCACCTGCACAGGTGTATTTTTCTTCTAGTTTTAACTAATGAACATTCAAACCWTCAATAAATCAATAGAATTGTACAGGCCTGACTTTATTTGAAAAATGACACATCGCCTACTGCCTTCCTWTGAGACTAAGATTATCTTATGCTGACAAATGACAGCTGTAGCCAYTTTCATTACAGCTGCAAAATAAGATGTGCAATACACATGCACAATATACATTAAAGCAAAAACATTATCTCTCCACAGTTTAGCCATTTGCATTCTGCATGTTTTCAAATCACGTGGAGCCATAAAAACAAATAATTTTTGCTGAGATTTGAATTTTTTGTTTTGTTTAGACAAAATAATTTCAAAAGAATGGTGTACAAACACCATTTACCTAATTTCGAAAAACTTTAATGACTTTTTTGACCCTTCCAGTAGCAAAAAACTCCATTAAAGTTTAACTTTGATTATCTAATTGCCAAGTCAATTAAGAGGGTAGTGCAACATTTCAGTCGGTGTGAAGGTCAAGTCCTTTTCTACTTCAAAGGAAAGTTGATTTAGTTCGTAAAGACAGGTCTGTGTGGGAACCAAAATCCTGCCTAAAGCAGTTTTAAGCACCCAGCATGGCAAATCTGCATTTAATAATCTGGAAGTTAGGTGTTGGGAAAGGATAGTCAAAGTCAAACCTTCAGCAGCAGCTTGCAGATCTCATATTTCCCCTTTGCGGCAGCTTCATGAAGCGGTGTGAACTTCCACAGGTCGGCCACATTGACGGACGCCCCGTGTCTGACCAAGAGCTCGGCCACCTCGTAGTGACCGTACGAACAGGCGTTATGAAGAGGAACCAGACCGCTGTGAAGGGAAAAACAAGTTGACTTTGTTTTTCTCCTTTAAATGATTTTCTTTGTATGACAAGACCAAGAAATTGACCTCACCCTTTGTCCTTGGCGTGTACGTCAGCGCCGTGGTGCAGCAGGTACTCCACCACTGACACTCTGTTGTAACCAGCAGCAAAGTGAAGCGGAGTGGAGTGTCGTCCCTCCAGATCTCTGCAGTTCACATTCTGAGCAGTGCATAAAGACTGCAGAGACACAAGACGGAGACCAAAGTTTAGAACGAAAATGAAAACTCAGATTAAATCTGATTTTTTTTTCCTCTCACAGAAAAACTGAAAAATGTCTTCCGATTTAGAAAACAACACAGTCCGACCATATTCTGTTTTTAAATCGTGTTTCATCTAAGAATAATTTAAAAACTCATTTAGAGTGGGCTTTAAAGGGATTTTGAAAGATAAGTATTCAGACTGTTCTTAGTGCTAAGAGAAGCTGTTTTATTGTTGTTGTTTATTACCAACAGGTGGAGGAGCTTTTTCTCCTGTATAAAGTTGGGGCACAAACCAAAGTTTCTCCTTCTCCGGGTTTTAACCTAAATGACGTGTCATCACTTCCAGAATGTGATGTTCTACAGCCCCTCACTCACTTGTCAGACAGTGTTCAGCTGTGGGCAAGCTTTTAGGTGGGATTTTGGAAAAGATCCAAGTTTGAGAACCTCTGCTCTATAGGACTGGAGGAGTCAAATGGCAGGCTGACTGCTGCTCTCTAGTGGCCGGAGGCTAAATTACTGTTAGCATGAAAGTTTACATTTTAAGTCTTTTTTTTGTCACTTCAGTAGAAAACGAAACCAAATATTAGTTTATTTAGTTTATTTATTTCTTCATAATCAGTGACTTTTTTTAAGTGAAGAGAAAATAGAGACAGGGAGAAAAACAGAGAGAAGTAATTCGAAAGATAGAAAGATTGAAATAGCGATTAGAAGTATATTAAAAATACACCAACAAAACATAGGACCACACACCCAACATCTGTCCGCTCACCTGAAAAATAAATGGATAAATACATGGAGGACATATATAAATATATACACATACCCATACATATATAAAGATATACATACAAACATGCCTACATTCATAAATATTGTCAGTATATACACACAGACATATATAAACACTCAGTGACCAGTCAGAACCCCCCGGATCAGAACACCTGTTTGTCAGCGGTTGTGAACATGCGTGTATATACAAGATTTCTCCAATAGAATATTTAATAGTGACCGTGGAGGAACAGAGACCCAACCCCCAAGACACGAGGCAGACATAAGAAAGACCAGAGCCCAAGGGCCCAAGAGGGATCCAGAGCGCAGAGCCCCAAGGGGCACCCGCATGGGAAGATCTGCCCATCCACCCCCGAGATCAGACCATAGGGGAGAACTGGGAGAGTCCCCCCAGCGACCACACGTACAGCCCCCGGGGCCAGCAGCAACAAACTCATGGGCCCCACTGGCACGCACCATACCAGAGCAGATCCAGGAAAGGGCACAGAGGTCCGGGCCCCCAGGGCGCACCCACTCCWGGCCAAAGCCCGACAAGGCCAGAGGCCCCGAGCCCCAGCAGACAGTCACCAGGCCAGGCCGGCACACACCCCAGCGCCCAGCCCCAGACCCCGGGAACCCCCAGCACGCTGGCGACCAGCCACACACCCCACCGGGGGGGCCGAGTAGCAGCGGGCCCCCAGATAAACCAGCAGTTGGGGCAGCCCAGACCCAAGCCTGACAAATACCCAAACATACACAATCGCACCATCCCACCCTCATCCTCACCCCCACTCAATCAAAGACATACAAGGACGCCACATTCCACTCATACCCCTGATACACACTCTATACCCCCCAGGTCCAGGACATGCACRCWCCRDDTATTGGAGGCAGCACACACCCAAACCCAGGAGGTAGACCCAATCATTCTGAGGTGGAGAGGAGCAGATAGCCAAGATGCCCGGCCAGCCCCCCGCCGCAGAGAAGCCACACCCATGACCACCCCACCACACCGCCAACGACCAAGTGCACCCCCCAGCTGTCCAACCCCCCAGAACCCGGCAGCCACCCCGGCCAGGGGACCACCCACAGGAACCATGAGCCACACCTCAGGAGACCAAGCAGCACCAGGGAGGATGGAGAGCCAGCCCTGCCCCCAGCAACCATCCAAGCCCCGAGCCCACCCACAGCCCAGGACRGCACCCGGTGGTCCGCCCTTCTTCAGGACCCCCTCCCCAAATGGCAGTCGGAGAACGGGATGGGAGTAAAGACCCTGACACCCACACCCCCCATCCCCAGATGTACTGTTGGTGCGTGTTGTTCTATAGAGTAATTAAAAAGGGAAAGAAGAAGAGGCAGAGGCGTGGTGCCAGTTTCCCCTCCACCATTACTCTAACCCAAAACCCTGTGTCTATATGCAAACCTTGGGGGGTGGGCACAGGCACAGGACGAGGTTGGTGCCATCCGGCCACCTATAGCCATGAGTGCCCACCTTAAGTTCCTATATGTGAATTTCATGAAAATGTTATGAGTGAATGTCTAAGATGTACAATAAAATTTGGGGCCCAGGTGGTTATGGCAAATAGAAATGTAATATTGTTGCTCATGAAAAAAAGGAGAAGCGAGATCCAGGAAG